TGAGGAGGCCGGCGAGGGGCTGAGGGCGGCGGTCGCGGGCGCAGGTGAGAGCCGGTAGGGACCGCAAACGTCTCTTGAGGCGCTGCCGACGCCGCTGGATCCTTTCTGCGGGGAGAGATTCAGGCGGGGAAGAGGTTTCACAAGTTCTCCCCCCTAAATATTTAATTAATCACATGAAGCAACCAGCCGATTGAGGTTAACTGGGGTTAACTGGGCTCCTTCTCCCGCCCCATAACGAAATGTGGAGCAAGCGAAGTGTGACTGACGTCCTGCCTTCCCGAAGTCCAGCAATATGTACAGGAATCAGCCAGATGTAGTTGTGAAGCTTGCTCGGGTTTTCTCTGTGAGCGACCCGTCTACACCTGAAGCAAACGAGATCGGTGTCTGGGATTATAATACACAATGGAGTCGGGTGGGGACAGACAATGGGATAGTTTGTTCTCTTGAGTGTTTTGCTACAATGACCTTTATTTTTGCTTGCCCTAGTTCTGCAAAGGCCTGCCCTGTGCAGGGTGTGTTTAATCTATTGGGCTAGCGTTTGTTGTACAGTAAATTAAGCCTATCAATGGATTGTTTAACTTCACAGCTTGTATCTGTAACTGAGAAACACAGGCTAGAATTGTGTGGTCCCTGGGTGGCCATAGGATATCTTGGGTTTCTCAAAAATAAGGGATTGTGGCTGGTATAAATAAGGTTGTATATTCATCTTGTATGGTTCCTGCTCAACACACGGAGTTAAGTCATCATTCTCTAGTTTCAGAGAGATACAATTTCTATACTTATTTAAAATGCATGCTTCTCAGATTTTTGACATGTATTGTAGAGGTGCAGTAAATGGTATCTCGGTAGTTTTGCCTTAATTGTGTATAGTTTAGATTGATCTAAAGTTCATTTTTGAGTTGGATTATGGTCTTCATAGTTGCAGATTTTTACTGATATATCTTTTGGTATGTAGATTTTGATTTTACTAACTGAAAACCTAAAAACTTTTAAATTACAGGTTTCCTCTCCAGCTTTTCAGTAATTATGTATTATGAGAGATTTGAGGGCATATTATAAGGATCTATGATTTTAATTATTTTAAGTTTTATACAATGAATAGTCCTTGTTCTTTCAGTCCACTTAAGACAACGCTACACAGCGAAGCTTTTTCCCTAACATCTGTGTTATTCATTGCTGTAGACTTCAATTAAAAATGACCGTGACTAGTGTTCTAGTTTCACAGATGAATATGAGCCCTCTGTACTTGTCACTATGTGCTAGAGACATTTTGCACATAAATTCTGCCTCAGAAATGTACTGTGATTCCCCCAAAACAAGACAGGGTGTTATATTAATTTTTGCTCCAAAAAACGCATTAGGGCTTATTTTCAAGGGATTTTTTTTTCATGTACAACAATCTACATTTATTCAAACACAGTCATGTCATCTTCTTCTGGTTGCTGCACAGTGCTGGAAGGTGGGGTTTCACTTAACTAGGCTTATTCTTGGGGTAGGGCTTATATTACGAGCATCCTGAAAAATCATACTAGGGCTTATTTTCAGGTTAGGTCTTATTTTCGGGAAAACAGGGTAGGTCAGGTTTTGTTCTTTTTTTTCTGTCTTTGTGACTGGACTTTTACTTACAGAGCCTATCAATGTTTAGTTTAACTTCACAGCTTATATCTGTTATTGAGAGCTACAGATTAGAACTCTGTGGTCCCTGTATGGCAATAGGATATGTTGGGTCTCCTTCTGTGAGAGGGGAGAGAGAGGTCTGACCTAGGGAAGGAGATAAAAGTTGCAAACCTCATCACATACACTGTATATTCCTCTGCAGCTATTCATTTCCAGTACTGAGGCTCCAACTTTGGTGGGAATTAAAAGGGGCTATTATGAATGGGAGTCTGCATAAAGGTAGACTAGAGAAGACTTGAATCTACAAGTTTCATAGTCTTGAAGTGGCAGAAAATGTGCTCTGCCATATATATGACATAAATCTTCTACAAGGGGTATGGCCTTCTTTGCAGTGGCTCCAGTTTTATGGAACCAGCTTCCAGAGAAGCTCTGCCTAGCCCTCTCCCTGTGGACTTTCACAAAGCAACATTGCTTTTGAGGAAGGTTTTCCACACCCACCAATCACATAACTCCTGACTCCCTTTCTTTTTCTTTACTGTTCTCTGTTGCACATTGTGGGTTGTAATGTAGTGCTTTATCATTTAGAACTTTCTATTTATATTTTATTGTATTATTGTTTGACTGTTAGCCGCCTAGAGTGGTCCTCACCCGACCAGATAGGCGGGATATAAATAAAATAAAATAAATAAAATAAATAGTTGACTGTGTTAGTAATCAGATATTTATCTTTGCACCTCAGTCTAGCCCTAAAAAGTAGCCTATGTCTTCTGCCCCAAACTAGAGCCAGTCGAGAGACAAGTTATGTGGATGCAGTGGAGCTGGGGCATCAGCGCTATAAAACAAATGACGAGAGGATAACAATAGTGTTTTATTCTAAATTTAGAAGGGGTAGGGTGTGAAAAATAGATATAATGTTTAACATAGGCAGGTGGAACAAATCATTTTTTCACAAAAACATATATAGGAAAACGAACACACTGCATACCTAAAATATTTTCATTGGGGATGGGTGATCTTTGGCCTTCTAAATGTTTTGAATGTCAGCTCCCAGAATTTCCAGCCACCTTGGCAAATAGTAAGGAATTATGGGAGTTGTGCTCCAAAACACATAGATGTTCAAAGGTTCCCCAACATGTTTATTCTAAAATTATTTACTCTGTTATCATTTCCAATTGGCTGTGGTACTTCTGAAACATATTCCTATTGGTGCATGGAGGTCAAATAAATAAGGTTAATACATATACAGCGTTCCGTGTCTAAGTCGCACTAGCCATGTGACCACGGAAGATTGTCTTCGGACAAAACGCTGGCTTTATGGCTTGGAAACGGGGATGAGCACCGCCCCCTAGAGTCGAACACGACTGGACAAAAATTATCAAGGGGAACCTTTACCTTTACCTAATACATATACAAATTGCTACATTCCCCCCCCCCAAGCATAAATACAAGGATATATCTTACTGAGACCATTTTAAAACAGTGCCCTCCCATCATACCTCCACGCCTTGCCCTCTTGGGACATGAAAAGCTGGTTTGCATTGCCCTTATATAAATATATTCATGTATTTACTGTTTTGAGAGTTTCTCCAGTTTTATTTAGGACATGGCTGGATGGAGGAATTTGGAGCAATTCAGGTCTTATTTAAAAGACTTATCTTTGGTGCAATCTATTTTATCTTGCACTTAAGTGATCCTTCCATTCACATGGGATACGTTTCCTATGAGAAAGATCCAAACGGCACTTCAGATCACTCCAGTTTCTTCCCCTTTCAATAAGTGGCATCCACTGCCCTTCTGGCTTCCATGCTTTTTGTCGCAGCTGTCATTCTGTAGGCAGCAGCAATTTCTCTTTTTTGTTTAATTTAGTAAACAACATAGCACTAAAGCAATGTATCAACCTAACATAGATGCTCCCTTATATCTGAAATAGTGTTGTGTGACTTATGGGAATATTTTGAAATAATTGTGAAAAGAGGAAAACAGAGTAGGTGGTTTCTCTGCCATCTTTTCTACAGTCACAGCATATGTCACAGAGCTGTCATCAAAGAGAATAATGCCCATAACCCTATTTGGGAGTAAATTACAGAACCACACAGAGTGCGGAATGGCATAATCAGGAATATTCCCAGTTGCATCAAATAATCTGCACCCCTAGCACTGTACCGGAAATGAGCAGACCAGCTCACAAAAGAGGTGGGATATATAGCTCTTAATTAAAACACACGTGGTTGCCAGAAAATAGGGTGAAACAAACCTTGATTTTTCCAGGAGCCACCCCATCTGCAAGTGAGAGGAACTCCTCTGAGAAAAGGCAAAGCCGCGAGATCCATTGTGAGAGCATGCCTTTATGGAATTCTGAAACACTGTCTGACTGTCTATCTGAAAGAAGAGTGTGAGGGGTGCCACCTGCAAATCCCAGGTCAAGAGAGCCAGCCATGTTTGTCC